TTGTTTTTATTCATAATTTAATAGTTATGGTTAGATAATGCAATTAATTTTTTAATTTTTCCTAAACAATCTATTGAAATCAAATTTTTCTTAAGACTAGGCATGTAAAGAATCTTATTCAATTTTATTTTTCCGTCATTGGTACAAATTTTGATACTACTTGGTCCTTCTATGCAATATTTTTTACCTCCTACCATTATTATATTGTCTTATTTTATCGATGTATATGATTTTAGAAATTTATTGTTACTTCTTATATGTCTTGTTGCTCACAAATTAACACACTATGGTTGGTTCTTTTCAATTTCATATGAGATTTTTGTAAGCTCAATATTTATGTCTTTAAGTGCATCAATTATTTTATGATATTTACTAGTGAGTAGATTGATATTTTTTTCTTCCTTGTACATTGTGTATTTGTTGTGACAAATTTGAATGGAATGATTTGGTGACCCATATACAAAGTATTGAAAACGAAAAATTGGTGATCACTATAAGAAGGACCTCTTTGAAATACTCAGTTGCTTGCTTGAAATCATAATCTTCATTAGTGAATGCTATGGCTGTATGTGTTGTAGTCTCATGCGCATAGGTATGCAATTTTTCACAATTAATAGTTTGATATTCTAAGTGATTTGGATGATATTAAAATTACATAATCAATCCTTTTTTCTCCCAAATAGTTTCTATGTATTTTGTAGCAATGTGATTTATTCAATAATTTTAAACTAATCAATGCAAAAATAAACAATTTATTCTTTATGATTAGACTTTGAATTAGTTCCTATTGGCTAGAAGGAAGTTTGTTCAAAATAAGTTGTACCAAAGTTTCATCTGCAACTTTATGATCCATAGCTACTAGTTTGCTCTTTAAATTCTTAGCATTGCATAGATACTTTTCAATTAATTCCCTCTTTGTCATTTGCATGTTATAAAGATAAGTTGTCAACAGTAATATTTGAGATGACTCTCTAACTTCATATATATTCTTCATAGCTTGCCAGATATAAAAAAGATCTTTAGTTTTTAAGATAGTTACTATAAAAACATGTTTTATTGCCATCATAATTAAGGCCCAAGTCTTGAGCTTATAGATTTTAAATTACTCTATTATAAATGTTGATACATCTATTATATTTAGAAATAATACTAGTATCATCTTTCTCTATATTAAATCTCACATATTTTCTTTCTTTAACAATGCCTTTATTTTCAATTTCCACAAACTAAAATTTATAAAATCTTTCAATTGATTACTCTTACAGATAGTGATTATGGAAGATTATTTACTTGACATAATTCTTATTTCAAATAAAGATCAAAGATTCCATTGATTTCTTATCAAAGCAAAACTTCATTAAGTAAATTTATTGTTATTTATAAAAGTAGAAAAAAGTTTTTCCTAAGAATAATACTCACTAGTTGGATATTAATCCCAATTTGATACCATCATAAAACTACTTGGTCAAGAAATGCATTTTTACTAATTATTAGTCAACTTATGTACAAATGAGATTCTTATGTAACATTTATGGTGTGTGCTTATGAGACTCAAAAAATCAAGTAGTACTACAAATTGATCCAAAGATCATTCATGAAAATAATTATTTATTAAATAATTTTATTGAAAAAACTAGCTTTGAGTGAATTCTAATGTATCACATTCAATATATAGTTGATTGATAGATTAGAAACTTGGCCACCAAGTTAGCCACGTGCCACACGTGATAGCAACTTGTGATACGAGTTGGCCATGGCATACATGAAGGAAACTTGTTTTGCAAGTTGGACAAGTGTTAGAGGTCTTATATAATGTCACAATGTAGTTTCTAATTAGATAGTATACATAGAGGCAAGAATGGAGCTTTTTTCACTCTTATCTACGCATTTCTTCTTCTTAGTCTTGTTTCAAGAATCTTTAATCTTCTTAACTTTGACAATAGTCATTCTAGTTTTAATATTTTATTATTTTATTGAATATGTACTCTTTTTGAGTAGCACAAGAATGTATTTAGGTTTTATTTGTTTGTGATTTATGTCCTTAATAACAAGACAATTATTTTCTTCAAAGAAATGTTCACTATAATTTTGTTATTTATTTCCATGGATTGTACAAGACAAATATTATATATATATATATATATATATATATATATATATATTAAGCAATACTATTTATCTTATGAAGCAAAAAATAAAGTTGAAACTAATGAAAGGATTAAAGATAAAAATTTTTAATTCATAAAGTTTCATTATACATAAGTCTAAGTAGAAGCTCCTCCATTGTTTGTAAGCTTTAAAAATGTTAGTCATTTTTGTATTATATCACAAAATAAAATAAAGAACTTAAAAAGAAACTAAAAAAATCTAAAACTAAAATCTATAAATTGTTAATTACACCGATTTCTTTAACTTGGTATTGTTAGGAATATTTTCAGGAATTACATGGTTCTCCAGAGTCGGTAGCAGTTTCAAGTACCAGGGGTCTTCGTAAGATGATCATTAGTAGTGATGGAGTGAATATTCAGTGGTTCGTGGATTTCTCTTGAATTTACTTTCATGCTTGAACCATAGTAATAGATCGTGTGGACACTAAGATTTCGTAGCATGAAATTTCGCCGGACAAAGAAGAAATGGTTTTTTTAGGATTGCTTGAAACCTGCCAAACCATGTAATTCGGTCGATTTCAAAGTGCTCTACTCCATCCAGATGCTGAAGATGCTGAAGATGCTTCAATTAAGAGCGCTGCTTTGTTGTGCATGGCTCCGCCGATCTGCAAGCGCGCAGCTCCACTGGGCACTGGTCAACATCTGCAATCAGAAACCTAACCGCCCCTTATTTTTTTGTTTTTATGTAAGCAATTTAAGTTTAATCTAGGAAGATTCTGCAGGGTTTCACAATATTCGATGTACATTGCCGTGTACGGTGGTGTCCAATTACCACGAAGACCCCCCTCTCAAGCACCGACTTGACGCACCCCACCTCCAAAACTGCGTCTTTTAACCGTCCTTAGACGCGTGGGACGGATGTGTCGGTCGATATTTGGATTGTTCACTTGAGGACTGGCTGAGAATCTGCAAGGAAAGAGACTCATGTTGGATGCGCAATAGTGTGGTGCTGGAACAATATATATGTATATATATTGATCTCAAGACTCAGTGAAGTTATTCATCTGACAATTCTAGTGTTGGAGTTGATAGTGGAGGAATCCGGCAAGTGTTTGGTTGGATTCTGGTTTGGTAGTGAAGACTGAGAGAACCTGTAGGGGATACTTTTTATTGCCTTTTTCGAAGAGGAGCTGTTCTTGTTTGGAGTGAGTGTAGGAAGACAAGTTTAGCGAAATGGATGCTCTCAGACGTGCGGATGCGCGCATTAATATGGCCACACACCCCCGACGGACGCTCAGATGGCGCTTGAACCGGTAAGTGAAAGCATAGTGCACTTCTTGACGAACGACAGTTTTCGTGTGCTTGTATCCGTCGGGAATTCATGTACGGCGTGAAAGTTCTGCATTATTTGAAAATGCTTTCCACATCAGAGCAACATTTGACGTTTGTGTTAGTTTGGATTTTGACAAAGTTTATTTGTAGCCCTAATTACTTCTAGCTCACGTCTTCACTTGCGAGTCTGTCTCGCTCCGCATCACCATGTCTGTCAAGAAATTTAGGAAACCCTGTTTAGACGGGCTAGAGTTATGGCAGATCCCATCCATGAGTATTAGGAAGATACTGCTGATTAATTAGTTGCATTCTATTGCTGCTGTGCTGAGATGACTTCGAATTCTTGTAGGTACAACCCAAAGTACAGATGGAACTTGAAGAAGCACAAGGTGATGCACCCTGTGGATCACCAGAAGTGGAAATTGAAGAGGAAGATCAACTACGTGAATCCCTTTTTCTACTTGGGACGCATCAAAAGGAACTTGTTTGGAGAGAGGCACCACAAGCATTGAGTGTCGCAACGTTGAACTCTTCGTTGGAGCTTACGTTAGTCAGGTGTTGGAAACGTCATAAGTACTGCCGGGTTGCATAGGACCGTGGCTACCTAGGTACTACAAAGTATACAGTGAGCGTGACGAAGATTTTGAAATAGCTCAAAGCATGGATTGTAATCAAGTCTAATTCAGACTCTGTAATGTACAGAATTTTTTTCTTTGACCTGTTCTGAGGAAATTCACTTTCACAGCAGATGTGGAGCTGGGTCTATGAGATGGCGATTGTTGCCTCTCAATCTCGCACTTCGAAACATGTATATATATACAAGTGTCGCCCCACAAATTGTTAATGGCCTGCTGATTTGTCAGCAATCGAATTGGAGACTTTTCAGACACCCATATTTCTTCACATTTTGAAATTCAGTGGATTTGATATGCACTGGCATGCCTCAAATGTTGCCACCACGATAGCCTCGGCAATGGTACAGTTCTCCACGGGCAAATGCACGCTCTCCAATGCTGCGCCCCTACCTTTCCCACTCCTTTCAGCTCAGAGTCGATGTCTGTGGAAACAGCGTCAAAAGTTCGTGTGCATAGAATCTGTATTTCCTGATCTGATCCCGCTTGCTAAATATCACTACTAATCGAGGATAGTTCCTAGCTACTTCTACACGTGATCATGACGAGTTTCACACGGCTGGACAAATGGAGAATCATGTCTCGCAGTGCTAAGTACTTTCAAATCAAAGAGTTGATCAGTACTTGATAAAATAATTTTCGAATCTACTTCAATGGCCGTTTTGAGCCGATGCACCATTCGTTACATGTCTGATGAAAATTGAACTGATAGGGAACAAATGTGACATAACTTAGCATGTTTATGACAATATGATATTTCCACCCATTTCTCGATCTCCTTGCCCATAATTCAAAACTAAGGAGCTGATAATAACCAGCTTCAAGGAACCCATGCATAGAAGATTTAAAGGATGGCAAAAATAGTTCGAGCAGTTCATGGTTCAGACGAGCGAGAGTCCAGGCTTTTCGCATTCGTATGAGATGCATACGGAAATGTCAATGAAGATATATTGGGGACACTGAAAAAAAATCTTAAACAGAAAACCTCATCTTTCAAAGAAAAAGGCGGACCAAAGTACGGGCGCCTTGCCCATCCTATTACTTAATAGTACGCGACTTACGTAACCAGTGTTTTACAAAACCTGCACAAAAGTATCGGGCAGTAGAAGGCAGCATAGTGGTGAACTCCATCATTGAGAACGAATTATTCCTGAGAACTAAATATGGATAAAAATTAAAATAAGGAATAAAATCATCTCTACCGTGCCTACCAGTGCAGATCAAAACCTACTCGCATTACCAAGGACAACCCATACCCATGCTCATGCCAGCGTCTGAGGGCGTGGGTGCTGGAAAGAACCTCCCTAACCTCTGTACCATAGATACAAAATAACCTATTCCAGAAACTCCAAAGAGAGCAGGACTTCTCTCCAACAAGCTCCTGGTACCCATACACGTTGAGCCAACTAAACGCAGCTCCTACTTCGCACCCTACTTTTGTTCACGTTACTTTGTGCAAAATTAAGATCTAGCCTCCGAGGAGATAGCCTATAAGCACGCCCAACAGGCCAACGAGCATAACAAACAAGAACGAAAATCCTGATTGCGACTTCTGACCATCTTTTAGCGCTAAACCTCCACCAGATCTTGAGTTCCCACTCTTGTACGTAAGCTGAAAACAAGAAAAATGCTAAAAGATTGAGCCATTCACATTTATAAAGCAAGAAACATGCAAGAACAAAGTGTAATCAAAATTTAACAGTCGCACATCAGGATTATTTCCTGTTCCATAACTAACCACGACAAATACTGTCAACCACTAGGATCCTTCGCAAAACACACATAAATTGACGTGGATCTGAGTACTAACCAACTCTTGCTGCAAGGCTCGACATTTTTGCACAGCCTGATTTCGTTCTTCCGTCAGAAGACTAAGAGATGCCTTTGTCTGCAAGAATCCGAGTAATATCAGGACCATGTACGAAATGTGTGATTGTTAAATACAAGGCAATGCCGGCAATTCCATCACAACACTGCCTTACATCGAAGATACAGTCCCATGAGAATTCATTTTCAGTCAATAATAAAACAGCTCAATAACCTAGAGTTCCTGGTTTCCGATAACAAAAAAACCCACAGATGGTAATACTTCTCACATAATGAATTAATTGTAAGACAGTGAAAAAAGTCTTGTTCGCAGAGGTAAGAGCGTACCTCATTCAACTTGTATTTCCACTCATTCTCAGTCTTTGTCGTCTGTCAAAAGAAGTGAATAAGAAACAGATCAGTATTTCAAACGCCTTCCATACTAAGATCTGGTATTACAGTTGTAAGAGACACAATAGGATGGGCATACAAGGTATGAATGGTTACCAGATCGGGGAGTATATGGTGCCGATCACCATTATCTATCACTGCAGCAGCTTTTGGTGAGTTCCCCTCTTCCTCATTTGTTTCTGTGATAGGTGATGGTGGTTGAGGTGGTGAGACATACAAAACTTTCAGTTTTGCTTCATGCACCTCGTTTCCTCCTTCCTTATTGAACTGCACAGGTAAAGGAATATATTAATGATTGAGAACTGAAACACAGAAAACCAGCAAAAACTAAAGACTCAAGAAGGGCAATAACTGAACTTTCAGAGCTCAAAAAGGGAAGCAAAGATTCTTTAGGAAACAGATCATTTAGACATTGAACTTAAAACAAAGCAAAAACAAAGGTACACATTGAGAGCCTACAGGGATCAACATGAACTGCTACAGAAAACAAGGAAGACATCTTCAAGAATAAAACAAGTAATATCCAGAGAAATGCCGAAGACCTACCGTGTATTTACAGAAGCACTAAAATAACCAAAAACTAAATGGCGTCTAATTACTCCTTTAAATTCGCATGGACACCATGCAGGGTGCAAGATAAAACTAAGATATCAAAGATCGGGCAAGTGAGAGTACCATCTCTTGAGTAACCTCCGAGTTTGGTGCTATTACACTCTGAACGAGAAATTTATCCTTGCATTGCATGTCTGGAGGAGCTTCTCGCTGTGCTTGCATTGTAACTGACAACACATGACAAAACAGATCAAAACTCTACCCCTAAAGCTTTTCAAACAAAAAGAAGTATCGCACAACATTTGGTGATTTGTTGCAGTTCAACAAAAGATATAAAACATAAAATACAAATATAAACTGTTAGTATCAAAACTTTATGCACTGTCATAAAACAGAATGACAAGCAACTTAGCGAGGACAGATAAAGTTTAATACCGGTAACTTCTGCACTGCTATGAGGCTGAACGATGCCGGTGTTCGGCCGCACACAATACTTCTTTGGGGAAGTCGTCTTGACCTGAAACAAGCAGGATACTGTATTTTTCAGGTAATGAATATATCATTTTTTGCTAAAACTTTGAGATGATAGTTTCCAACGAAAGTCAATCGAAAGGCATGGATGTTTAATAAAGTACGGATGACCTTCACACTAAAGGTTCCTGTCTCTCGACACCAAAACGCTACCCACTACAATCAAATCACTACAACACTTCTTCAAAGGACAATGGTGTTATACATTAAACAGTCTTTTCAATCCGTCTTCAAAATCTTTACACAAACTTTTCAAAACCATGTATTAACGTATCAACTGTTGCAACTTTATAGTCTACTTGACAAGTGCGTAGAAGCTGTTCAGGAGTGAGCTCTGCTAATCACCTTGAAAGCCACATACTGATCGGTAGAGTTGATGAGCCGAAGCGAAGCTGATATCTGCTTCTTCACCTCAACTGTAACAAGAAAATGAATTCGATCACCATCAGAAAAACGGAATGTAACTCAGGATAGTGAACTCACAAAATAGATAGAAACATGCTCTCCTGCTACGGATATATCTGAACGTAGAGGCATGAAAGGCCATCACTTCTTACACAGCCAAGTTGATAAAGCCAAGCGTGATAAGTACAACACTCCAAAACTCGATTGATTCTTCAAAAATACTCTACTAAAGTACCAACTACGCTACGAGTTTCATTCTGCATCATTCTGTAAACAGCTGATAAAACCACTGTACGTATTGAAAAAAAAAGGAAAAAGTTGAGCACACAAAAATGATTCTGAATAAAGACATCTCAAACAGACCTAAACCTAAACACTGCTTAATACTAACGTGCATTTGTGCACAGTTGATGTGTGTCCCATTAATGGACATCAGAATATATGCCGCATTATGCATTTCGTACAAAAATTCTTCGGTTCTCGGAATTTGCGATGAACAACACAATCCGTACACAAGATACAGCACACAAAATGTGCACTGATGGTGAAGTGGACACCATAACCTACATGGAAACTTCAGCTCCCCAGGCTGAATACTGAGAAGTTCGGAGGGCATGGCTGCTTCCCCTGAATCGACCCTGTTCTTCAATGTATTCAAAGAGCCACCCAAATGGTCCGAGATATAGAGTGCGCTAAGATGTCACACTCTTTCCCCTCGTGAAAGAACTGCAAAACACACAGAAACACGGCTACTCGTTACAGGGAAAAACAAGCGCATAAATCCACTACATCAAACCTGCCTGCTTCACAAACATACCATCCAGGAGGTATTAGAAAGATTTGGACATTGGACGCAATACAACGGCCATACCTGCATATTTGTATAAACCATGTGGGGTGAAGTCTATACTCACAGATGAGGCTACTAAACGTGGACTCCTGGAACCAAGATTGTAAGGTAAAGCAAGCAAAACTCCAAGACATGCCATCTAGAGCAGGATCGGACAAGCGTTTCTAACAGATCATACCTATCGCCAATGTGAACAAACCCCCCAACTCCACGAAAAGTAAACGTTTCACTTCGGTGGGATCATTGCGACCCCTAACAGCCCCGACAGTTAAAACACTAATTCACCAACATGGACAACACGACCTACACGACGATAACCAGACTGTCTAGCCCCAAAAGAACTATACAACACACCCCAGAACACCAAGACTAGGGTAAAACCCAAAAAGGAGGGTGAGGAGACGAATCGCTAGCACAGGCCTGACCCAACGGCACCCAAGCAACGAAGCACGAAATCCCACATGCAAGGGCCGCAATGAACCCCACTACGCAATTCCTCGCCCCCTGCTCCCCGTCGAAACCACGGAACCTACAAGGGGAAGACCCGCTTCGACACTCAAAGACTAACTAAAAAATACTCGCAAAATTGGTTCCTAACGCCCAAAACGAAACGCGCAAAGGACAACCCACACACCTGGAGAGTGACAACGACGTCGCAGCGATCACGAGGGCGGAGCGAAACGCGCCTGCGAAGCGGAAAACGGTGGTCCAGATCGCCAGGAAATGGAGCTTCGACGACGAGGAAGCTCACAGAAGAAACCAGAAGCTCCATCCGCAAAGGGGCGTCCTCACTGCAGCCCGCGGTTTAGGGGCTCCACGCGATCGACATCCTTAACCACAGGTCCGGTCACCGCTGTTTCAGTCAACCCACAGTGAGAAAAGGGGCTAAATATAGAGAGAACCGTTCACCGGCCTGGCCGTGGGAGGCCCGACCCGGTCTAAATCTGGGCCACTCAGGGCAAGGGAACAGGAAGAAACTGTGGAATTGACGGTATTACTTCCACCATTCACTTCCCACCTACAAAGTTTTGTAGACGAGAATCTGCAGATTGTGTTTTAATTGATGATATAAAGTTTCTTTTGAATTCAATTAGGACTTGGGTCAAATTGAAACATTCCACAATGCTTAAAAGTGGCCCCATGTTGAGGTTTGAATGGATACATCACTGTTGTGTCCCATTCATGAATTGGGTCATTCTTTGATGATTGCAACTTCATATAATTTGTTTCAATATTTCTCCATTGTTTTCTTTTATGTTTTGTATATGCAATCATACTCGTTATTTTATGGTTGTGTGGCTTCTTTGGACAATGTTGAGCAATGTACTTAGCTTCTCGTTAGTATAAGCACAAATCTTTTATCAAAAATATATATATTTATTTAGATAAAAAGTATTAGATAAAAGATAAATGTAAATAGATTTGATATTATCTTATGGCAAAGTTTCTTAGAAGATTCATAGATGCATATTTGACTTTTTATATGTTTGTAGTTGATTGGTAGGTTATAAACTTAGCCAACAACATGGCTACATGTTGCACGTATTGATAGCTTGTGATACAAGCTAACAATGTGGCGTACACATAGGAAACTTGCATTGCAAATTAAGACATATATCTTGCAAAGTGAACATGTGTTAGAGGTCTTATAGAACATCGCCATGTTGCTCTTAATTAAATAGTATAAATAGAAATAAGAATGAAGCCTTCTTCACACTTGTCAATGTCTTTCTAGCCTTAATCTTGTTTCAAGATTTTCAACTCTTCTTGTCTTTAGAAATAATCATTTTAGTTTAATATTATACTATTTTTGAATGATTCTTCAATCTATTTGAATGACATAAGTGTATATTGATCTTTTAGTTTTTTGAGAGTCATGTCTTTGACAATTTAATAAAAATCATAATTCATTGTTCTTGTTTTATTTTAAAAGTAAGTAGATTATTCAATTTCTATTTTTATATTTTTAAATATTATGGACTACCTATCTTTAATCTAACTTTTAGTTTATTAACATTTGAATTTTTTCTTAAAGAGAGTCGATTATCTTTTTTTGTAGAAATTTTACTCGATATTAGAGATTAAAAATTTTCTTCCTCTAATTTAACTTTTTGAATTTATTTGAGTTGTCTATAAAAAAATAATTTATGGATTGTATTCTTCACAAAAATAAGAATAGATTTGCAACTATTACAAATTTTTATGAGCTTATCAATATTCTTAAGATAGAAAACTCACGTATTTCTAATGTGAATCATAGAGGCACTATTCCTATACTCAGGGAAGAAGTCAACAATGAAGTTCAAAGTCTATGTTGTTGTGTTGTAATTTGTCTATCATATAAAAATATTGCACATATATATTTAATATATAGTTTATTATATAATTTAGTGAAAGACACATTATTAGATTTTAATTGATTACAAAATATGGTTAGATTGCAATTTTGAAGTAATTAGTCTAAAAAGGCTATTATTGAGGTTGATTTATGTTGATAATAGTTTTTATATATTTAGAGCCATTTTTATTAGACATTGGTGACTCTTAAAATCTTGTTTTGTTTCTTTTGTTTGGTGTTTAAGGCACACATCATATAAAATTTATTACAAAAAGGATTAAAGAAGAATTTTTATATAAAAAGAGATAGTTAAGCCAACCATATGGATGAATGGAGATGGAAGATAAAAATATCTATTCCTATTGGCCAAAAGTCATGTTCAATGGACTTCAAGGAGGTTGCTTGAGGTCTTATTAGGAATTAGGGTTACTATTTGAAGACATTTGAACATTAGAGATTGGGGTCATTAATTTTAGGATTTTGGATATAGCTTTGGTGTAAAATTTGTATGATTTGAGGTTTTTATAAAAGCAATATAGGCACTCAAAGTCAAGGTATTGATTTTGTACCTATTGTCATTCTTTAGAGCATAGTGCTTGCTTATGAAGAGCTTTTGAAGATCTGATTGTGTGGTGAAAAGTTTGGTTTAAAGAGATACATTTTGCATATATAAAGCACAGGGCTTTATGTTGATTTGGAGGAGCAAAGACTACTTGAAGATAATTTTCTGTTCAATAGGCCTATTTGTAATACTTTTATCTTTTATATATATTTTTTAAAAAATAGAAATAGAATGTTTTCTTTTACTATTCAAATGTTTTTACACAAACCACTTGATTGTTAAGAACGAGCCTAGATGAAGCAGTAATTGGTTTTTTCTTTCTTTCTTTTATAATTTCCTTTTTATGATTTGTTTTTTAGAAATATCATTAACATCTCCAAATATACACATTATTAGTTGTTTCAGGCTTTTTTTTTTTTTAATATATATATATATATATATATATATTAATTCCAATGTTTTTATTCTCTTTATTTATTTTGCTTTTAAATTCTTAAAAACCTTCCAATGTCATATTGTATTTCAACTAAGATGAATTGTAATCTATTAAAAAATATTATATTCAAAATAAATAAAAGTCTTAATAATATTTAAAACACCTAAGATAACATAAATTTTTTTATATGTGTAATAAACTATTTAAATTAATAAATAAAAAAAAACATATAACTTAATGACTAGTTTGTTGGTTTTTTTCTTCTTCTTCTTCTTCAATTAATTTACTTGTCATGTCATATATTACACTAATAATTATATATACTAGATTTTTTTTGTTTGATTTAATTTAAACATATTAAACATTGTTCTAATGTAAAGATTAAAAAAAATTGCTTAAGATGGTTTGTATAGTTAAATCAATAAATATAAAATGGTATGTAGAAGAAAAGACAAATGATTTGACAGCTATATTAGAATTTGAAAAAATTGATTGTTCAAATACATTACCAAGGAACAATCTCAGATTCGTAAATAAACATTTTATCTAAGTATTTTACTTTTTTTTGCTCTTTTCATGAATACGCATATTTATCACAAATTCCATTAATTATGTTAAAAGTCACAATTTTTATAATTTGACATATATATCCAATTTAACATCTCAATAAATTTCTTGAATGAAAGGATAAAAAAAAAATTCTATGCAACTTTCTTCTACTTTCAAAAATAGAATAAGCCAACAATAGTTAATATTGATATTTTGTCTTAAGTTATTATAAGGGCATTGAATTTCAAAAATAGATGACTATGCTTTCTACATATCAACATTAATATTAATCAACATATAATTCTCTCAATGCTTTTACTTTGATGTGGTAATTCCTATGATTTAAAATAATAAGGTAAAAACATATACATGTGATTACAACAATTCAATTTAAATATTGTTCTTGTGTGTATAAGAAGGTAAACTTCACTTTAGTTTAATATCATCCTTTGAAAATTGATGAAATATTGAACTAAATACATACAAATATAATATCTGATAATTGTTTCAAATTGTATGACCTTTAAAGTATGTAAACAGTAACATAAATAGATATATTATACAATTTAATCACAAATTACATTCATATCTAATAATGACTTTCAAATTCAAAGAAAAACTAATAAAATTGTAAACTTTTAATCTTAAAAATGATATTACAAATTTACTTGTTAATACATCTGTAATCTGTTTTTTTAATATTATTCTACAACTATCAAATAGTTAATTTGATTTTCTTTAAAATCATTGATGCCCATGTTTTTAATTTTTTGTAATCAACCTTTTGATTTACACAATGGAATTGAAATAAAATGTCAAACCCAATAAAACGAAACCCATTCTTACATTACAATCAAATTACTCAGTAGTAGTAGTACTTTTGAACAATAATCAAATACACAGAATAATTATTCTAGTGTCGGAATCCTCTATGTGTCATACTATGGAACATTCATGTAACAAATTTTTAGTCTCGAGTATCTAAAATTCTGTTTGCACATGAGCTATTCAAAACGAGCACAATTGTTGCTCCATTCTTCTTACCTGTTCCCATTCTTGATTCTGATAGTAAAATAGAACCATGAATGAATTTGCTCATTATTGTGCATATCCATTATTGGCACATTCAGTGCAGTTGTTGAGGCACGGGATCCATGGTGGGTTCTCTCAGTGCATATACTCTGAGGAACTGGTGGCAATGCTTTAACTTCGTCAAAATTTACAAAATAGTCTGTCTGTAATGGAATGATCGGATATTGTAATGTATTACATATCAGACAAGGTTATCATTTTTCACCTTGAACATGCACTCTTATAATTCCATGGATTCTGTCCTCCACAGATTGTGAAAATAAGGTTACCCTGCACACCGCACTACACACGAGCACATGTGTGCCTAACGCATCAGGCTCAAAACGTTCAAGTACCGCAGAAGATCCTTCGACGGCCAAAAATGAGTTTACATTTATTTGTAAATCCGGATAATTTCGGACATGGATAGAAAGGGAACTAGCTCCTCATTCATATGTTAATATAAGTGTGAAACATGTACCACCTAAAAATTGACTTTCCAACACCTGAACGTTGTTGTTCCATGTTGATATGTCCACTATGAGTAGCAAACTCCTGCCACGCCTTCCAAGATCACAACCAACTCAACAGATGCTTCAGATGAAGCCCAAAATTATTCAAATAATCCTCAATCTAACCCACTTAACCGATCAGGAGCTTCGTCTCCTCTGTGAACTTATATTGTGGCACTTCCAAGTTGTAAGGAGCCGGACCCTTGCGGATACGTCCTGAAATGTCGTAATGAGAACCGTGGCAAGGGCAGAACCAGCCTCCATAGTCCCCAGCATTCGGCAGAGGCACGCATCCCAAGTGAGTACACACGCCTACCACTACCAGCCACTCAGGATTCTGCACCCTTACGGAATCTTCCTCGGGGTCCCGAAGCTCATTCATAGGAGTGGAGTTCGCCAGCTTGATGTCAGCCTCAGTGCGGTGACGCACAAACACAGGCTTACCACGCCACTTCACGGTCACGGTCGAGCCAGGTTCGATGCTAGATATATCAACCTCCAAGGAGGCCATTGCAAGAACATCGCGACTGGCTGACATAGACAAAATCAGCTTCAGCGCAAGGATTCGCAGGGCTGATGCATAAATGAAACGTCCACCTGGAAAAAACATTGTGTTAGTTGTGTTACATTTAAATGCACACAGTTTGCAATTTAAAGAGTAGACAGATTTTTAAGGAGATGAAATCATTCACCAAGTGATGGCTGCCACGAAAACCAACAACTCGCCAGTTCAGGATCGCACAAGTGAAGCAAGCTTCAGGGGGAGGTGCCGTGATAGAGATGTAAAAGACATTCATGAAAAAATCAGAATGTACCTGTGAGGACGAGGTAAGTGAAAGCCTTCTTGCTAGGATCTCCTGGTGCACATCGCTCGTGCGTGTGCTCGTCGTATGTGATCTCATTCGATATATTTTTCAAGGCCTGTACTGTGGCTGGTACTGTGTGCGTGCCCGATGCAGTCCCAGCCAAGGCATCTGACGCAAATCCTGTGAAATGGCAACAACAGATGACTTGATCTATTAAGTTGCAATGTGATGATAACACTAAAACCCCTCCGAAAAACCTGCCTACCTAGGATAGCACAGCAGAACTTCAATGATATCACCAATACTGCAAGCGCCATTAACTATCGCCGTCGTGTGGAAGGGGTTGACTACATAAGTAAACAATCACAACGTGACACTTGCGTATTTCTGGTCAAACTTCCATATAAATGTTATGGGTCATATGCCAAGCCGACTATCGGAGAAGTTTAGAAATCCTGAAGTCCCCAATAATAAAGCCCACATTTACACCGTTGTATTAGCAAGATTGAACTTGATTTGCCACTGTGCACTCCATTATCCTATTTCAGGAGAATCGCCTTAGTCGAAAAAGCATCCAGAATATCTCGACTCTACAGACATCATCCTGCTTTCTCTATACTCGGAGAATCATCATCTAAGTATAATAAAGTGGTATGAATTTTCATTAGGACTCCATATTGTTTTCGGAACCTCATACCAAAGCCAGTTGTTCCACACATTACACGTCGATTTCGGATCGGTCAAGGTATTCTTCCCAATAGTAACAGAAAGAAGAAAAAAAGAAAAAGAATAGGAACAGTTCATTGGAGCTCATGAATAGCGAACTCTATGTCGAGGAGACTCGTTCAAGAATAAAATTCGCACCGCCTCAACATCAAGACCACAACGATCTCAACCACTCAAAAACCCAATAATAATAACAAAAAGAAGAAAAGAGCGCCTCACTATCAAATGCACTGAAACTTCTTGTTTCATTCATCACTTAGGTCAGAATAAAACAAAAAGTTCCTCTGAAAAGCTCGTTGTTTCCATAAAAATACAACAAACAGAATGGGCCACATCCCACAGGTTGATTGCCACCACACCATAAAATTTAACCACGCGAGCGAAAGGTATTCAAGGTGATATTAATAGTCATCATAATAATAAAATCAAAACATACCAAATCCAAACAAGATAGGGAGGAAAAAGTAAACGGACGAAGCGAAGGAAGAAGAGGAAGAAGCAGAAAAACAGAAGAATCACGTCCGAAACAGACACAACAAAAGCTCAAAGCTGGACCGCTTTTGTCCAGGCTAAAACACGAGAGAAGAGTCGCATAAGAAACCTACCGCGAGAGAAGTGCCATGACCGGCTGAAGGAGCTGGAGGGAGACAACGCCATGCCCCCATCACTCACAACGCGATCCTCCTTAGTAGTATAACCGCTGCTTAGGTCTACGAGAGCCGCAGAAGAAGCGCCCTGAGAGGACTGCGCTAGACGAGCAAGTACGAGCAGCCTGCGCCCAAGCCCCCTCGCCAACATGGTGCCGGATTCGTAAACGCCAAACCCTACACAGCCCCCGCGCTCTGAATGGAGCTGCAATTCTTCTAACAATGTCGAAGGCACTGCGAATGCTTATGCCATGTAGTTCAACCGGTGCCACAACGAAGACGATGTTCCCCGCCGGGAACACTTAGGGAACAGGGTATCGTTTCTCCCGGTTCTCGCCACCGATCGATACGGGCATCAACCGGTAAAGTCGGGCTGCGCAAACTTTAAAGACAAACTAAAGTAGCTTTTCTACTTAGTAAGAACTCTCAACTCTGAGGTGGTCTTTAACATTGGTTAATCAAATTTGAATATATACGATTGTGTTACCAAATTATTTTCTAAAACTTATGATTTTATATTTCATAAGTTTAAATCTGAAATTTTTCCACAAAATAGAACCAAATACACAAAACAAGTCATTTCTGAAACAGATTCTATGGAATCGCTTCAAAAGCAAAAAGTGCAACAAAAATGCTTCAAATGGCTAACGTGATAATAAATAAAATAAAATAAAATAAAAATCAATGTAAATTTTCTTTTAACTTGATAGTGAAACAATTTTTTCCGTTCAATGTCCGTTTAATTGGTATAATCCCTAGGAGTATTTTGTTAAGTTGTATACATATTTACAGATATAATAATTAATTGAAATCAAAATTAGGGATTAAATTAATATTTCATATAAATTATTTTAAAAAAATTCATCACTCTGTATCTATCTCTAAATATAAACATACATATATATATATATATACATATATATATATATATATATAAGGCATCTAATCAAAATTACAATGATATTGATTGAAATTCTTCAAGTTGCAAGCTCTTAATTACTAAGCTCAATGACGAACTTTCTATGTAATTATCTTTTTTTAAAAATTAAAATTTTAAATGCGCATTTTATTTTATTTGTACTTAATTACACATGGCAATGCTATTATCTAACAACTTACTCCCAACAACGGTCTTATAACTTCATATGGTAATTTTAAAACTACTTCTGCTATAAAAGTGTCCAAAATATAAAGGCCCTCTTATTAATATAATAATTGCTGGACAATCCATATTATGCCTCCGTGTACATACAAATACTCCATTATCTCACATTTTTTTAAGAAATTATTACTTGTACAACTCTGTTACTATCAACTTTGTTTAATAATTTTTCTGGGTATATTGAAAGAACCACAGGAGTAGGAGGTTTTTATTATTATTATTATTATTATGAATTTTTACTTTTTAAATCTTTGAGACTTTATTTATTTTAAAAAGAAAACAATTCAACTTTTCATTCTGTTGTTAAAATAAATAACCCAACTCTCTTAAAATGTATATATGTATATATATATATATATATATATATACACTACACTTCTGCAAACATACTTTAAAAAATATGTTTATGCATGCATATATGCAGTTACATGTGTGTATATATATATATATATATATATATATATATATCAACTAACATTTACAAAAGAAGGTTATATATAAGGAAGTTTTTTTTTTTTATTTTATATTCACCTCAACTAGAGGTGTAGGAAAAAAATAATTACTTTAATCAATAATAGAAACAATGAGTAATTGCCTCAAGGTTTCTTTAATCCTCTAAACATGTTGGGTTGTTGAATCTTAGACAATTATTCTTTTTCTAGAACTTACTTTGGTGGAACAACTAAATAGTTTGCCACACTTTAGACATTGTGCAGATGGACTGAAATATTTGTTGATGTAAAGCAGATTTATTTTTTATGTCAAGATGAGATTTTGAAAAGCAACACATGGAAGAAATTGAGCACTGAAAGGACGAGTTTTCAAAATCCAAAAACAAAAAAGGCAGAGTAGCAAAAAAGTAATTTGACCACCAACTTCTATGTATGTTTGTATGTATGTATGTATGCATGAATATGTTCAAAAACTTGTAAATAAAATTTCAGCACCTCTTTTGGAAAAAGAAAAAAAGAAAAAAAAAGAAAAGTTTATATATATATATATATATATATAATTTACTCATATAATATGCATTGCAAGTATGGAAAGGAAAAAGTAGGAATTCATGGGTAAGATGACTCTTTTGTCATCCTCTACTTGGGTGTAAGGACCAATAGGAGTATATGGAGCATCACACATTGAGCTTGTGATAAATTATTAGGTCCAATCTTTAGTCTCCTTATACATTGTGCAAAGAATTGGTAATCTTCTTATAGCATATAATGCATGTAAGATACCAATTTAGGGTAGAACCTTCTTTTGGATTTAAGATTTATTGGAGTATTGAACTAGCTATTTGATCCAAAACCAAGTAATAGCACCAATATAGTCAAATGAGGAAAGATATGAGAAATCAAGAGAAAACATGGCAACATCAATGACCTATGCTACAACATTTAAAAATTGGTGGACATACACATCAATGTCATTCATTGCATTAAAAGAGCAAAGGTAAGTAGAACAAGTTTGAAGAAAAGAGAGATTAGAATCGTTGCCACTACATAGATGGAGCAATACACAAAAATTCACCCTGCATAAGCATTGCCAAGTAAAATCTTCCTTGAAGGATTCTTTTGAAGTAATAAGAATTTGTAGAACAAATATATATCTACTATAATTATTACCTAGGTAATATAAATAAGTAGAAGTAGGTAAAAATAGATTAATTTTATAATACATTTTAGAAAAGCTTCCTAAAAACTTTGTAGATGTAATTTTGACTATACATGTATTTGTAGTTGATTGGTAGATTAGAAACTTGGTCAACTAATTAACCATGTGCCATATGTATTGGCAACGTGTGGAATAAGTTGACTATGTAGCATCCATATAGAAAACTTGCCTTGCAAGTTAAGATATGTGTCATGCAAAGTCAATACATTTTATAGAACATTGCCACATAGATCTTATATAGATAATATATATAGTGGCAAGAATAAAACCTTCTTCATTTTTGTCAATTCCTTTCTTACTTTTGGTATAATTTCAAGAATTTCTAATTTCCTTGACTTTTGGCAATAGCCATTCTAGTTTCATTTTTAATATACATACTTCTCTATTTATATTTTGTCATATTTTATAAAAGAGCCTCACTTCTTTATTTACTTTTATTGAGTTCTTATCCTTGAAAAATTAATAAGAATATACTTACAATATTAGAACCTTATCTTTTCTTGAGATAGGAGTGAATTATTCTTTTTTCTTGATAAGACTTAAGTATTTTAAGAATTATAGATTATCCTATTTTAAATTGATAGTCTTTAGTATTTTTTATTTTTTTTTTATTTTTGAGTCTTCTCTTCTACTTGTCTTAATTAATATTAGACATCTTCCTTTTATTAAGTGTTATCATAGTAGAGCTTCTTGAAATAAATAGTGTTATAGCAGAAATGCAAGAGTAATTGAGGGAATTAATGCTTGCAATGCATCAACTCAATTTACTACCACATGAAGCAATAAGAATAGCAGGGAGGAAAGATATAGAGATGATTGGAGCTCCTTGAACATCTATACCAAATTATATCCCTTTTTCTATGGTTGAATATTCTTTTAGTGTTAAAAAATCAAGAATTGCATTGCTTAAGAAGTTTCATGGCATAAGATCCTAGTTTTGAGGATTTATTATTCAAGTACAACTTATGATTGAACTTCAATCATAAAGCTATCAAATATATTTTCTTGAATGATAAGATCCAATATTGGATAATCTTGAGGCTTTTTTGGTAGAATTTTGATCTATGTACAGAGAACATGATGCAATTGTGTTACAACTAATAAGATCCATATTTGTGATAAGGAAATCAATTGGTAAAATTATATGCTTCACAATTTTGACAACTTGTAACTAATATCAAGTGGAATAATGCTACACTTGTTAGCCAATTTTTCTATGGATTACAATATGATGTAAAAAAATTGATGATCAACTTAGTTGATCTTCAAACATTGAGTCAAGCAATTGACTTTGTAGTGAGGTATGACAACCAACTTTTCGAATTTTAATTTGAAAGTTGCACAAGTACACCTCAATATTACTATAATTCAATGACAATGTCAATGTCTTTTCAACACATATATTCAAAAGTAGAAGATATGTAAATTGATACAATATGTTTTAAACTTCTTATTGAGCAAAAAAGACTCATTATTGTTAAAAAAAGATTGTGCTTGTACTATGGAGAACCTAAGCACACTACTCAATGTTATTCAAAGAAGTGACACAACCTCAAAATGAGGACTACGATCGTCAAAGAAGATAGTATGTTGGAAAACAAGTTTGTCTAGCTACAATAGGGATCATCTAGTTGGAATCTTATACAACACCTAATGAAGGTCTTATTTTCTCTTCAAAGTATTTTTTTTGTTTTATAATAAATATTATTTTAGGATCTAAACATCACAAAGCTTTTTCTTTGTTAAATTAAGGAGCTTCAACTTGTTTCTTAAATAAAAAATTTACTAAAAGACATAGCATATCTTTAGTGAAGAAAACTAAATCTATTTACATAGAAGTCATAGATGGTTGTCCATCATCTTAAAGAAATATTACTTATAAAATCTTTTCTATAGAAATAATAATTAATGATTATAATAGCTTTATAATATTTAATATCATTAAATCTTCTTCCAATCATTTTAGATTTATCATGGCTAAAAAAATATAATTCAAAAATAGATTGAATTTCTTGTAGTCTTGAATTTTTTGAAAGCATAACTAATAGTATAGTTGATCAAATAAAAGTCATAAGTCTAGTGTAATTAAATCTGCATTTGTAGATGCAAGTACTTTCTTGCATGTTGCAAAAGAAGGATTATCTTGTGTCATTTATGCTACACCTATTTTTAATGGATGAAAGACTTCAAGTGACATTCTAAGCCTCAAGTTTTTCAAGAGATTTTTGAAAAAAAAATATAGATACTCTAGCAAAACGTTATTCCTATGATTACTAAATTGACTTTTAAGAAGGAGATCAATCGACTTTTGGACCAATTTTTAGATTATTACAAAATAAGTTCATTGAAGTCAAGGAGTATATTGAAGAAAATCTGACGAAGAACTTCAAAAGCCATTCCAAATCTCTAGC